TATATTCTATGAAGATCTTACTGCTTATATAACCATTTTTTGGCGGACAAGTTTTAGAATTTTTAATAACTACTCTTTGAATTATTAGTCAAACTCTTTAAACTCAATTTATGTAATTTTTTTAAAATTAATAGAATCATGCGCGATTTTTTTTTTTTGTATTGTAATTATTGCTCTTAACTCTATCCAAATTTTATAATAAAAATATGGGTTAAAGTGCATTTTCTTCATGTATTTTTTTTGACGAGCATTGAATACGATGTACTAATAAGTATGATATTTTTTTAAACCATTTTTAAAGGGAGCTAAAATGTCCCTCCGTCATTAGTATAGAATACCCAGCGCTTCTCAAATGAAAGTATAGGAAAATAATATACTTTAATTCTAATAATAATAACAATAATATTTTAAATAAATTATAGAAAATAAACTTATACAAAAATTAACAATGATTAAGTCTTTTAATTATTCTTTTAGTCAACTAATGGACTTATTTCAAAATATTATACCATCCAAATTTAATATTTGATATTTTGTGACTTTGTATTAAAAAAATAAGAGAATGAACCTCCAAATATTATATAAAATTAATATCAGCTTGTTGAATTTGTAACTTATTTTTTTAATTGTAAAATTGAAAACATATTGCATTATATGAAAATACTTATTAAGAATAAGTGACACTTTATTCTAAATATCCATTAATTTGACCTTTAGTTGACCAAAAAAAGAGAATGGCCTGAAAACTTTAAGAAACATAATCAATATTAATTTTATTAAAATATCATTTTATTAATAAATATTAAATCTTTTAACAATATTTATTAATTTATTTTTATAAAATTTTAGGGTACCCAACTTTCTTAGAAAAAGAGTTTAGGGAATAAATTATCACCAAAACACATGTCACATCAGCAAAAAGTAACATAGTTAATGGATCACTAATGGAAAGAAATTTTTTCTTTTTTGAAAAAGGTTTAAGGAAAAAAGGCCACATTTATTAGTACAAAATGCTCAGCATTAATCCTAATTTTCAAATTTTCATGGTAATGCCATATGTCTTTCATCCTCAAATTTTCAAATTTAACCCATTCATAATTATAAATTTTTTTATTTAAAAATTATAAAACTACCCCACCACTAATCCTGATTTTCCATTAAAATACTACAATTCTAGCCTTCATTTATTTTTAAAAATATTTTATTCAAATAATAACTACAATATCTCTAAAATTAACTAAAAACACCCTCTTATCTATTATTTCTCTCTCATTTCTTTTTATTTATCTATAATCTTTTCTCTCAATCTCTCCCATTATCATAACTTCTACATGATCCTTGATTTTTTAAAAATATTTTATTGCAATATATCAAAAACTTATAGAAACTATTTTCCATTATCTCATATTTTTTTCTTATTTTATTATTAACTCTTTTATTTTATTTTATAGGTCAAAGTATATTTTTAATCCTTTAACTTTATAAATAACTTAATTTAGTCTCTTAATTTTATAAAGCATATTTTTAGTCCTTTAACGCTAACTTTGTTAGTTTTAAATGACTATTTTTATGTTAGTCATTGTTATTTAAAAAAAAAAACATAATATGTGAATATTTGAGAATATTTTATTAATATTTAAAAGTTAAACGTAATTTTGTGTGTGATGAAACTAATAATATTAGGATTAAAAAGATATTTTATAAAATTAAAAGATCAAAATGACACCTTATATAAAGTTAAACAACTAAATATATACTTTAGCCTATTTTATATTAGAATCGCATAAGCATCATCCATCACTTGAGGCATAAGCTGATTTCATGATAATGCATTTCTAGCCTATCTATGTTAGCATTGATTTTTAAAATATATTTTTAAAAAATAATAAACTTTATATCTCTAAAATAATGTCAAGATAACTTCTACTTATCCCTTATTTTTTCTATCTTATTTTCTTAATTCTTTTTTCCAATTTATTCCTAAATTTTCTCTTCCATGTCCATCTTTGAGTAATTGCCCTCCAATCAGTTGTGGTTTTCAAACACTTCGAGAAAATTGTCATAACCGCCCCCTGGGCTAATGTTGTTTTTGGTCATCATGTGTATATAGCCTTGCTTCAACGCTTTTGGCATTTTCTTTTCCATTGAAGTTGGGCTATACCATCGACGCATCTTCTTTCATGAGTGTTAGTATTCATGTCTGCAACTTCGAACAGAGTAACATCCAGAAACTCACTTATATCCTTTAATTAGAGTCATGGTGAGTGATAAACAACTTAAATATGATAAATTTTAATTTTCCCTTCACACTAAAACTAATATTTAAATGTTTATTTATCCATGATTTTTTTAATAAATTTTACTATTGACGTGAGAGCTCCTCGGTAAGCCCTGTGTAAATTAAGTATTGACCTCGAGACTTTACATAAGATTTTATTAGTAAAAAAGGTTATACATTAACTCTCTCATTTTTAGTAGATGATTGCGAAATTTACAATGCCATGAAGGCATGAAAATTGGCATAAAGGACAAGTTAATTGCATTATTATGTTGGATTCTTTAAAAAACATTAACTCTAAAAAAGTACAAAATGAACACACCGCCGCAAAGTGGCAACGGACATTGAGGACGCAGTTTCATTTTGTATTTTTCCCAAATTAATACTTTTTTGGCAGTTTCCTAAATTGAGGATAGATTCAAAGGGGGAAAAAAAAGAAACTTTTTGACTGGCTTTCTTCCCAGTTACGCACTGCAAATGATTTTCACTAATCTGGATGAGCAATTATAATTTTTTTTATAAATAACTATTGGACCATGTTAGTTTTGAAAATTTCTTTTTATGGAAATGCCCTCTCCTTTTCTTTATTTTCTTATACAATTTCCATTATTCATAAGTTGGGTATAATCAAGGCTGTCAAACTCATGAATTTATAATAAAAATGAAAATTTGAATTATAAACTTGTATTATAAACTCATAAAAGTTTACATCTATTAATAAATAACTATTAAAAATATATAATTCAATAATTAAAATATAAAAATTATCATAATTTAATTTAAATATAAATGATTAAAATTAAATTCATTCACATTGATTGATTATCATATTCAATGTGAAAATTTTAAAATAGGAAAACTTATTTTTAGTATTTCTTATTTTTATTAATATTAATTTTTTTCTTTTTTTCTTTTTTTTTTTCCTTTGAAGCGGGTTCTATTGTTTCTATAACTGAATTCTATAGAGTATATATTTAACACACTCAACTCAAAAAAAAAATAGCTAAGTTTAGCGAGTTTAATTGAGTTTACATTTAATTTAAGTTTATAAGTGAGTTGACATAATTTTGTAAGATATAAGTGTAAAAATGATAAACTTAAAAGTGAACTTGTGAATTAATCTAGTTTATATTTAATATATGTTTATGAACAAATTGATACGATTTTGTAAGTTAAAAATAAAAAAAAATAAATTCAAAGGAGTCAACTTGAGAACTTGACAATAAGGGATATGATCATATTGATGGCAAAGCTTTCCTAACAAATATTTAACAAATTACATACCTTGTCCTTTCCTTTTCTTTTTTTTGAAATACTATTGTTTAAGATTTTGGTAGATAGATAAGATCGATATAATTAATACTTTAGTATTTATTTAACTTTCTTTTTATCCTTAATTTATTTTAACATTTCTTTGGAATTCTAAAGTTAGAAAAGATGATAATATCATTGAAAAATAATAAGGAATGTTGTTTGAAATTTTAAAATGATAGATATATATAAATATTTTTAAGTGATTCTTAATCATGTTTCAAACATGATTGCTTGTAATAAGATAATACCTATAAGTAATAAAAAGAAAAGAGGTGTTACAAGAAAGAAAGAAATAAAGAAAAAGAGGATTACTTGCCAAATTGTTAAGTTTCTTGATTATAAATAAAAAAATATTAGGTAGTATCATGCTCTATAAAGGTAAAACAAATCTAGTCTAATGTAATTATAATGAGTTTAAGTTCAAAAATTGAGTTATAATATAATTAAAATTATAAAAATTAAATGATTAATTTTTTTCAAATTCATTGTACGAAGCATCTAATTGGGAAAATAAACACATACCCTTAAATTCATTAATTGCGTCATATAACTATCCACGACAATAAATGTAAAAGGATGTTTAATTTATGAGTTTTAATCTGAGTTTGACTTTCAAAACCTTCATTATATGAGCCTAGATTCTTTTATTTTTTTTATTTTTAATTATATTTATTTATTAAAAAGTGAAAGTGTTATCAAAGAATTTAATTCTATCAGTATTCTATTTTATTCTTTTATTCTTTTATTCTTTTATCTCGCTTTTAAATTTATAAGTGTAAATTTAAATTTGAATCAAAATTTTTATCCAAAATTTTGGTAGAGTTTGAAGGAAAATAAAATATTAAAATTGAATGCGAATAAACATCAGTTTAATTTGTAAAGATCTGTCATATATTGTATGAATTTTTTTGTTTGTTTATATAACCATTTTATTGGTGGACAATTTCTAAATTTTTCAATAAACACTCTTTGAATTATTAGTCAAACTCTATCTAAATTTTTCAATAGAAGTGTTATTAATAATTATACATTAACTCATTAATAAATATCAGTTTAATGGGCAAATTTGTAAGCACGTCATTTGAATTTTACTGGTGTGAGCTCATTTCTGAGAGGAGATGGCTGCAGAATTTGCAGTGCTAATGGAGCCTTGAGGTATGACAAGCCTGAAGAACAATAAAGTCAATGTCGGTGGAAAAGCAGAAGATTGGAAGACGACACGATCATGCACCTTGTCGTTGCACGCAACAAACAAAGGGTAATAAGATGATTTTTACTTACCGTTTTGTGTGTAATTTTGAAATTTCAGTTAGCTCGAGCATTGAAAGTTCTTGTTCAGCAAGTAAACACCAGAAAGACGACGACCAGGAATTCAGGCTCAATTTGCTCACTGAAACCAACTTTAATTATGACCATAGTTGAAAAATTATATAACAGTCCAGGTGGTGGAAACCGTCATTTTGTTTTGGTGCTCAATTCTTCTCAGGTTTCCTCCAATTTCTCTTCAAATTCATCCTGCTTTGATGAATGCGTACTTCATGCCTGTTATTTGAGGTCTCTGATTCTCCAAAACAGGCTCATTGGTTTTCCTTCCAAAGAGGTATGGCTAATTTTTGTGTTCTTTTATTATTGGACTGACACATTTAGTCTAGCAGGTTCTGAGATTCACTGAGCAGGTTTTATCATCACGAGTGAACAATTCGGAAAGCACCGTTGAACGAACTGTATTGACCGAGTATTATTTCGCTTCAGAAAGGTTGGCTTATTTTATTAATGCTGAATACTCTTCAATTTTGTTCTGCCTATTCGGTGCATGTTTCAGGTACTGGCTTTTGTTAGTTCTCATCACATTCAAATGCTAGTAGTCTCTCATCCAAGACCTGAACTGGGGTCAGGAAAATATTGAAAGGGACATTTAATTGTGAATCTGCTAATCTACGGGGGATTTTTTCCCCTATTTGTGTAATTTAATCAGTGATTGGTACGTTCCGTCAAAAATCATGATAAATTCAGCTTATGCTTTAGGCATACGGAAGTTGGCTAAAAATCTGAAGCATCTGCAGTAACTAGTAATCACCAATTTATTATAGGTTTGTCATGGGCTGTGGCTTTTCTAAGTTCTCATCATGCCGCTCGGGTACAGAGCTGAGGGGTCCATTGCCTGAAGCTAAATTTGATGGTAAGTTTTTGTCATGTGCATCTCTCTAGCTAATGTGAGAGTGGTTTCAATCACTGATTTTTGATTCCCTGTTCAGGAAAAGAAAAGAAAAGTGAGACCACTGATGTGCCATTATTTCAAGAATACACAATTCATCAGCTTAGGAAGGCTACTTCTGGATTTGCAGCTGAAAATATAGTTTCTGAGCAAGGTGAAAAGGCTCCAAATGTGGTTTATAAAGGAAAACTAGAAAATCAGACACTGATTGCTGTCAAACGGTTCAATAGATTGGCCTGGCCTGATGCCCGGCAATTTTCAGTAAGCATAAGTGACTTTAACTGCCAACATTTTTTTATACTTGATATAATTGGCTTGGATGAAGCTTTATTTTACTCTTTTGTATTTTATAATAGAATAAAAATATAAATTTAACTATAAATTATTTTTTAAAATATACTTATAATATTATATTAAATGGTATAAAATTAATCATCAACTTTTTAAAACGTTACATCTAACGGAGTTCATTAAACCTAAACAAATGTCAATTTATCTTTTTAGGTTGGGCCCCCACATTCATTATAGACTATAGTTGACCTCCATCCATTACCTGCAACCTCCCTTTCATCCCCTCACCCTTCCGGCTTTATTTTGAAGTCCTTCACTTTTGCCGTCTTGAACCTTAACTTCTCTGCCATTATCTCAAGCTTCAACATAATCATCACAGCCGAAAACTTGGAAGTGAACATTGACCCAGACAAATCAAAATAAAGCTTGAAGGACTTCAATGCTCCACTCTTCCTCCTCCTCTTGATTCCCTCTCCCTCCCTCCCTGATGCCAGAGGAACAAAGGAACAAAGGATTAGTTTTTCGACTTCAACCAGAAATAACACCACCCCATTTCTAGACTCTCATGAAAAATCGCCCAAGTAACTTGATTTACACAACAACCTCCATACATATTAGAGAAATTTCGCACCTTTCTGTACTGGCAGAGCAAATACTCATGTTTGTCGAGGAGGCTGAATCCTTCAAATTTGAGTGTTCCGAAGCGTGGAAGCAAGTCGATCGGCTTCTTCAAATGCTTCGAGCCTTGGTTCGCTTCACCAGCATCACCCCTTCGCTCTATGAGGTACCAATTCGGCGTGTGACTGTTGAGTGGTCAAAAATGCAAGTGACAGAGCTTCCTATGGCGGGTCGTTAACATTGTTAGCACAGCCGATTTCTGAAAATACACCGATGGCACTGGCGGCTGTTGGGTTGAGCTGTCTCTTCCTCCAATTGCCAGCAACGACCTGATTCTCTTATGGGTTGGGTCTTTCATTTAAGTTACTTAGTGTGGACTGAGACACTACTGATTATGTTTAATCATTAGACTGGATATCAATGAGGGATGAAACGATGAATGAGTCATGGATCAATGCTTTGTGGCCTGTCTCTCGCAAGCTGGAAGGCCGGTCGGAGGGGAGGAAAGGGAGGTTGCAGGCAACGGAGAGTGATTGAGAATTAGTGAAGGGCACCTGTAATGAATGTGGGGCCCACATTAAAAGAATAAGTAGTTAATGATTTATTTTATACTATCCTATAATATAAATTACTCAATGTCTTTTAAAAAATACACCACGGCTAAATTTGTTCTTTTACCTTTTGTAATATAACTACTCCCTTCATTGGCATTTTTTTTTTTCTTGTGGTTTATATCGGGGAATGACGGAATTAGACATTATTTATTTTGTGCATATTCTTGTTGTCTTTATGCATTTGTGTTTCTTCTTCTAAAATAGGTAAGTATACTGTTATAAATATAAACCTGCATGGTTGTTACGTAGGTTGATGCCTTCATCTTTGTGAATGGCCTTTCTAATATTTATTTCTTTTTCTTATATTAGTGACATGTAAACCTTTTTCATCTGATAACTTTTCTTAGAGAATCTAACATAATAATGAAATTAACTTGTCCTTTATGTCAATTGCATTCCATTTCCTGATTATGAAGTTAATTAGAATTAAATTTCCCCTCTCCGTGGGCCAAGGATTGTATGTTTACCAAAATTACCTTATCTAACATCTGGACTGCTAAAAAGTTTCATGTAAAAATTAAAAATGTTAGAAATTATAATAGAACTATTAATGGGTTTAAAGTAAATAACTTATGCCATGAAGATGAACATCCTTGACATGGTTATAGAGCTTCTGTGACCAAGTGCTTTTTATATGACAGAAGTAGAGATGGACATCCTTAACATGCTAAAAAGTTTGAAGCAAAAATTAAAAAGAAAAAATGTTTGAGATTATAATATAACTATTAATTTGTTTAAAGGAAATAACTTATGCCATGAAGATGAACATCCTTGACATGGTTATAGAGCTTCTGTGACCAAGTGCTTTGTATGTAGACTTCAATCATTGCTACACTTCACCCTCTTAATTATTTCAACTAAAGGTATGGTGAACCTGTGCTCTGGCCACACTTAAAGTCTAATAGGCTTTATTGTGAAGGGGCGTGAAAGATTATATAAAATATTATAGAGACACACCAAGCAATATGCATTTGAGACAGATTTTATCTTTGAACAGGATTTTCATGCCAGAACTGGAGTGCAGCAATCTGTACGAGCTGCTTCATACATACATACATATATATATATATATATGTATATATATTTCTTGACAGATATAAGAAGGCACCATCTGGAAAGAAATGACATGGATGCCCCAATATAATTTTTCTTGACCATGACATGATTATCCATGTAGCACATATACCTGCATTTATAAATTTATTTAAACTAATTTTTTACTTACTGCGACCTGATAAAAAAGAGTAAACCTGAAATCTATATTCAGGCTTCTCTTTGAGATTCATGTAACATCTTCAGAATCATCATCATCACTGTTATTTTGTTTCATTAATCTATATCATATGCAGTGCTAAACATGACCTTTTCTAGCTTCTACCTGACTTTGGGGAATTATATTTCCTTTTCCATTCAAAATATGGATGCCAGGATGATTCCTGGTTCTTAAACTAGGAAGCATCAAATTACTTGATTTAGTTTATGGCTTTAGCATTTACGTTTTACGCATGGTGCCTCTTGAATTACTTTTAGTCATTTTGGATTTTTCTTTTCCACATGATAGGCAATCTGGTTTTCTAGTGAGCGTGATTTTTCATTATTTGTTCTTTTAGCAACATTTTTTCACCCTTTCAGGAAGAAGCAAGGGTTATTAGTCATCTAAGGAATGAAAGATTGGTAAGTCTACTTGGATGTTGCAGTGATGGTGACGAGAGGTTACTTGTTGCAGAATATATGCCCAATGATACTTTGGCAACACATTTGTTCCATTGTAAGCACACAACTAGCTACAAACTTTGTTCCTCTGCATTAGATTTAAATACTGCAAATTTTATTCCATAGGTTGGTACTATTTTAGTAAATATTGTTCATTGAACTTACTCAGCATTATTTACATGATTATCCAGGGGAAAATCAACCCATGAAATGGACAATGCGACTGAGAGTTGCTTTATATCTCGCCCAAGCACTGGAATATTGTGCAAGCGAAGGGCGCACCTTATATCATGATCTAAATTCTTATAGAGTACTTTTCGATGATGTAAGTTCATTTCCTCTGTCTATGCTCTAAGTTCAAGCGTTATTCAATATCAATCTATGATTTATGTTGAAGTCTGACTGCCTTTAACATGTACATAGTCTTCAAAATATTATATCTATTATCCAATCAAAATTATGCAATCATGAAAGCTGCGTTAAAAGCATGCTATACATTATTTTCATTTAAGGCTGTATTTCATTTTCATTTAGTGCTATCACATGCTGCCATAAAAAAGGTTAATTAATTTCCCATGATAAATCCACGAGCTAATATTTCCCCAAATGACTATCTTCGAACACTTCAGAGTTTATATTGTGAATTATGGTAAACTAAGTAATACATAAGCAGAAAAAAGCCTGTCAAGTTTGATTTGTTCCCATTAAGGCGTGATAACACTAAATTCTCAGTAAATTTCTTAGGTTTTCTATTTTCGAATAACTACATAGTATGAATTAGAAAGTTAGTGAGCACGGAAATATGGAATTAAACAGTGCCAAGTAATCAGACTACCAGAGAACGTGATTTACTTAATTAATAGATCAAAGGGGGGCTATCAATATAAAATATTAAAAGTGTAAACTCTAATATTTTCTTCAAACAAAGACTTTGATTCACAAAAAAAAAAAAAAAACAAAACAAAACAAAAAAAACAAAAAACAAAAAGGGACATTTGTAAACAAAATGCTGCACAGACACTCTTTTTTGATCAAAATTTTGATATGGAGAATAACAATAATAACTTGAACATAGGAGAGACAGTGTAATATAAATTAATTTAGAGAGAATCAAATTCAAACAGGCTAGTACTGGGGCTAAAGATGGATTTGAATACAGGCTGAGTTCTCATTGAAGGTTTCTTGGGATAGGGGTGATTTGAATTATTAGGATGTGAATCAATGTAGATCATTTTAGGAGGCAGGGGATGTTTATATTTCAGACGTATCACTTCAAAGTTAGGAGTGTAGTTTCAGAAGGATTTGGGGTAGAATCAATTAAACAAGAACTAGGGTTCTAAGAGGCATAGTCTAAGCATTGGACTTTATAATCTCTAAATAAGATGAAAATGCTAAATTAAGACAAAATAAAACTAAGATGGATTAGATCCAGTCCCTCATATCTTTTCTAGTCTGGGACTACAAAACATTTTAAGCACTCACGTAATTTTGATATACATGTTGACATGAATGTGGCACAGCATACTTATTCTGCTAACATATGGTAGAACTATGAATCAGTATTATAATCTATAAAATGATTTCATTGATGCCTCATACTAAATTTGACCAACTTTTCCTTATTCCTAAAGAGAAGGTAAGCATTAGTTTGGGAAGAACGCAAGTGGAAATATACCAGATTAAGAAACGAGTAAAGAGTATGCTATCATGGGTGAATCTGCCTAATCTTTCATTCTTGTTCCCTCAACAATAAGTTCTGACTATTTTCATACTTGTTCATGTTTTTCAGGAAGGAAATCCTAGACTCTCATGCTTTGGTTTGATGAAGAACAGTCGAGATGGTAAGAGTTATAGTTCAAACCTGGCATTTGCTCCACCTGAATATCTAAGAACAGGTACTCCCTTAAGCTTGTTACATCATCAATTTATATTATTTGATCTCATTTGTGTGTGCTTGGTGGTTGAACTTCAGTATTGTGTTATTTGGAGTTCTCTCGCTAACATTCTTATTCTAAGATCAGATGATCAAGCTTTGTTCTTCAATCAATTTAATGCTCTCATGTTCTCCATTCTAAGCTTTTTGTCCAATGTTATTTCTATGGATGTTCATCCCATGTAAAAACCAGTAAACAGAGATTAAGTTCTGACCGCTATGTTGATTCATTAGTATTGTTTTGCATATTTTGTTTTGTAACTACACATGATGGGAAGTGTTTTCTGTCTTCTGGCCATGCAGGTAGAATTACTCCAGCAAGTGTAACATACGGTTTTGGAACCATTCTGCTGGACCTTCTCACCGGAAAACACATTCCTCCAAGTCATGTAAGTTTTGTTTCTTGATGGAAGATTCTGTGCATTAAGCATTGTATATGAACATCTTGACAATAGTAGGGTTTGCAGAGGATGTCTACGAGGCCACGAGAATATAGATAATCTGCATGATATATTTACAGGCAAAAATATAAGCTCGCATTTCTTCCTTTTGACTTGAGACATATACATCTTACCTTTCCTATCTTTTTACTGCATTCAGTTTCTTTATATTATTAATTTTTTGTTCCCCTTCATGAGGCTAAGATTACTCGATTCTTATTCTGTTGGGAACATCAGATTAATTTGTTTATGAACATTAGCGATTAAGTTTTTAGGTCAAAGTCAAAGCATTGAGTTCAGATTTAAACTAAATTCTACATCTAACAGTTGATTCGGTAATTTTCAGGCACTTGACCTGATTCGGGAGAGGAACCTTCAGATGATAACGGAGTCTTGTTTAAAACAACAATTTGCAAATGGTGAAGGGACCCAATTTGTGAACTTGACCTCACAATGTTTACATTCAGAACCACAGGAGCGTCCTAATCCAAATTCATTGGTTACTGCTTTAACACCTCTACAGCAGGATTCTGAGGTTAAATGTCTTTTGAAGTAGCTCACTGTATTATGTATTTTTTTTTAATAATTACTTAGATTTGTTTATTATGTATTTTTTTTAATAATTACTTAGATTTGTTTATTCAATTTTCAGCATTGGCAGTGTATTTTCCCAACCCGTTAGCGTTGGTCTTTGTTGAGAATTAAAGGCATATTCTAGCAAGCTGGAGTAAACTTATGTTTATTGTTATCCAGGTTCCTTCTCATGTTTTGATGGGTATACCACATGGTCCTACTACTTCACCCCTTTCTCCACTCAGTGAAGCTTGTCTAAGAATAGATTTGACTGCCATCCATGCGTTCCTTGAAAATCTTGGTTATAAAGATGAGGGTGCTGCTATTGAGGTGTGTTTCTTATTGGTTATTCATCATAATTTTTCTATTTGGTTGAGCATGGTGGTGTGTACATATTAAGTATAATTTTAAGTGCAACATTGTTTATTCTATATGTTAATGATTGTTGTGTATTCTGTAGATGTGTTTCGTCACCGTAAATCAAACTTGGATTTTTATTGTTACCTACCTTTAAAGACTGAACATGAATTTGGTTGAATGCAGCATATCTGAATCCTGAATCTTTTATGAACTTCACATTATTATTTTATTGTTGACTTTTTTTTGTTTTTTTGGCCTTCAATCATGCACCTTTCATTCCAAATGTGGACCATCCGGACGCAGGAAACATTCAACTCAAAGAAGAAGGGTGACGCTGCTTTTCACCATAAAGACTTCAACACTGCAATCGATAGTTATACACAGGTTTGTATGTTTCATGGCTCTTAAATTTGCTTACGTCTTATAGTATATGAAATATTATGTCTTCCCGAGAGAGGAATTGAAACACGGGTGACTGAGGGTGTGTATACCTCTGTTCTGGTTTAGTATCTATACCATTCAACTTGTTGCAGAAGTTAATGATAATGAAAATTTATGACTGGCAGCTAAGTTTGACAGGCAGGACGAAGCATATAGTGAACAATTGAAGATTATTGGTTTATATCAGTGACAACAAGCAGTTAATGTCTTTGTTGTGTCATGCATGCAGTTCATTGATGTTGGAACCATGGTTTCTCCGACAGTTTATGCACGCCGCAGCCTATCTTATCTCATGAAGAAAAGGCCGGAAGAAGCACTGAAGGATGCATTGCAGGCACAAATAATTTCCCCTATCTGGTACATTGCATTCTACTTACAAGCTGTGGCTCTTCTTGCACTGGGCAGGGAGAATGAGGCTTTTGCGGCACTTAAGGAGGGTTCTTCACTTGAAAGTAAATAGCACATCAATTAGTCGAGGTTATCAGCCAGATCTTTTCCATCCCCTCATGCTCTTCTCCTCAAACTTAAGAGTCCCAAAAAGAAAAAAAGGCCAGATCTTCTTCATCCCTTCCTCATGTCCCCTCCCAAGCTTAAAAAAGAAAAAAAAAAAAAATCCGGATCTTTTTTTCGTTTTCCCTGAGATGATTGTCATGGAGTAGTACAGGATGGTTTCTATAATGTGCTGCCAAATTTCCCAATTCCTTGTTGGACGACTTGTTGCGTTGAGTGTGGATAATACTTCCTTGTGTATGGATGGTTCATTGGTTTCCAAGCATTGCTTTGCACAGACTGGAGCTACTGAAGAAATCATACAAGTTGCTTTGCACAAGGTTTTCTGTTCCAGTGCTCAAAAAGAAGTTAAGGGGAAAAAAAGAGTTTTTTATGTTGCAGTTTAACTTACTGTTTTAGTACATAAGTTCTAGGGTCTACCTTTAGAATTTCTAGAAGATTTTATAAAGCGGTTCAACTGTCAGTTTAAGTACATGCAGTTTTTAAAAGAATAGTAAATGGTGCTTGTATTTATGTGCAGTGCAATCGATTATGACATAGGCTGTTTTTATGTTAATGATATTGCACATGTTCCATGTTGATATGAAATAGGCTGTTTTTATGGATGGCATGTTGAATTCATTTGTTTTTTCATTTAATCGAGAAATTGTTGTTAAGTTTGCACAGTAAATATGTAAGCTTTTAGAGTTTGAAAACATATATGATAGACTTCTCTTGAATCATATGCAAGACCTAGTTACACTTACATATCTCGGATGGGTTCTTACAATAGATACGCCAAGAGACAGGTGAGAAAGCAGGGAGAGGAAGTGTTTTTCTTTTTGAGTGTTGAGTCATTTGTGAAGAATAATGTAAAACCATCCCATATATCACAATAGAAATTTAGGCAGTTAAACAACTGCTCCCTCTATTGGTAACAAGCACCACCATAATTATTTAATCAAATAAATAATTATTTAACTTAACTTGTGCCTCTGGTTAGTTAGCCCAATCCATCAAGGGAGTAGTCTAGCACTCCCACTCACACTTGGTGGATTCTTTCTTATGTTCATACTCTCTAGTCTATATAGTATAGCATAAAACAATTCATTTATTGATTTCCTCTTGTTTTAATATTGTGCCTTAGATGTCATAGATTTACTTATATATACTTTTCTCTCAACCAATCCAATCCCTCTTAAGTCAATATAAGACTCAAATTGCCTTTCTTGTATGCATAATGTTTATACTTATGAAATCCACACAAAGATATCATAAGGGACATGTGTCAAATATTGGCATAAGTGCGCGTGCGCACATGAGCGCGCGCGCGCGCACACACACAAACATATTAGGTAATTGATCTTCCTTTCATCCAAATATCACTTTAATTTCATAAGAAATAGTCGTTTTCCTAGCATATCACCTTTAGACTATATCTATCATGATCATAAGATATATGCTAAAGTAGCAAGCATTATAACTTACCTCCATGATATTACCAAAGTCAAAGGACTTTCTAGGACTCACAACAATGAAATAGGGATCTATTCACCTGCATCTCAATTGTAGTTCTTAAGCACCTGTGGTATGAATCGCATGTCATAATGTTATTCTTATCTCATAGGAGTATTTGTTGTTTTGTTTTTATTATCAACAATATACAGACTTAAGTCCAGAAATTCTTCTTCTTGTTTTATCTCACATGAAGTCAATCATGAAGAATTTGTTTCTTGGCTACAGGTATCAAGGATGTGTGAATCAATGATTTGGTTTATATATATATATATATATATAAAGATCTCATCTCAACTTGCTCCTTTTTTATGTTGAGGTGACATATAGTTTGTATTTCTTATCTACTATATCAGCATTCTCACTGCTTTACTAGTAATCGAACACAAATGTTTCATTTTTGCTAGCTCTTCTTAAGTGTCAAAGGCCACCACTCATGTGAGGGAGCCATCCTTACATGTACAACCAAGATGAAATAATTTTCATAAAAAATGCTACTTTGTGCATGTTATCTTATTTCCTAAACATGCCAAGAGACTTTACATATTTTATGCATGCTTCTTTGGCTATAGGTTTTGTAATGGGATTTTTTATCACATATTGCATGGGAATTAATTGTACAATGACAACTATATGTGTTATAACATCTCATACAAAGTTATTCTTCACACACCATTTAAAAATCCAAAGTATTTGATGGAACTTCTCAGCCATATAGCCTCTTGTTCTATTATAGTACATGCTATAAACTCAAGTTCCTTGACAATAAAGTGCTTTTCAAGTATTTCAAGATCCTTTTCATTGCTTTTTAATGTTTCTCATTGGGCTTGGATTAGTAAAAATTTACAAGTCCTATCAAAAAATTGATAACTAAACTTATGTGTGCTTTTGCGTATAATACTAACAATACTTGCATATGAAACTTTTTCCATTTTCTTCTTCCATTGCTTTCACCCACTTGTCCATAACTAGATTGGATAAGTGTAATCTCTTTGGGTTAGACTAATAAGGTTACCCTTACTAATCCTTTCCAATCTCCCACAAATCTGATTAATAAATATGACAAAAATTTTACAAGTGGGTTCAACCAAATTTAGTAATTTCACAAATCACACCCTAATATTTCAACAATTGAAAAGCCTCCATACACTCTATTATGTTCAAATCAGAGCTTTAAAATAATGCGAAGGCATGGGAATCAAGAAAACCAAGCATTTGCATAAAATGACCAAAATAGAGAAAATGGTGTAGAAAATGGCACATGGATCATGACTAAGTGCTAATGTGCTATGGCTAGTAAGCCTTTGTGCTATGTACCACAACGCATTGCATGATTTTTAACAGCAAACATTTGCTGTCATATGATAACACTGGGAGTGAACTTCCGACACATCCTAAATCTCCATCCGATGTTCGATTGAGGTGATTTCGGTGTCTACGTAAAGCTTGCTCCTTACTCTAGCTAATAAATTATAACATTCATTTAAAAAAAATAAAAAGTGAGATATAACCTTCTTAATCTTGTTTTTAATTATTTGTATCTCAAAGTTTTGAAAATATTTTCTCTTAAATATTTTTTAAAAACTAACTCCATAAAGTTTCTTTAAAGTTTTATTTACTCAAGGAGTTTTGTGATTAACTTTAAGTTTATGCTTCAAGAGTTTTGGATATATTTAATTTTGACTTTTAATCAATATTTTTGCTATATCTCTTAACATACAATTCCGTTTGATGTAAAACTTCTTTCATGTAAAATTAAACTTGCAAATATTTTCAAAAAACATCTATTTTATTCAAAATAGATTTTATATCAAATAGATATGATTTTTCAAATTTAGCTATTGAAGCTTCCACTACATTAGAAAAAATGTCCTTAACCTTTGCTCACCTTTTTGATCATATCTCTCAAATTGCTTTTATTTTTCAACTAGCTTTTATTTCATTGGAAACTAAACACCTAGAGCATTCCAACCATAGGTATTTGCTGGATTTGGGGTTAAAATGAAAGAGTTATAGCCTTTAGAAGTTGACATAGCTACTCTATTCTAAAACTGCATCCATTATTCTAAAATAGCTAGTCTTATTTAAGAATAGCTATTCTTATTCAAGAATAAGCTCACTTATTCTAGTATAAGCATCAACTTTAATGCTCTATTTCACATGCTCATTCTCAGTCTCTTTGATTATCATTCCTTGTTCAATCCTTTCACCTTTAGAGTGTTGTGTTTACTCTATAACCTTCCTACGATCCTTTTAAACACAACTTTGGCTAGGATTAAACTCTTAATACTTTTTTTTTATCATTCCTTATTCCCAAACTATCAAGAAACTCAAAAGTTTAATCTGTGTTTGATCTAATTGAGTTTCTTTCTAAAGATTAAGCATTTGACTTGATCTTAATCTCTTAAGGACCATTCCTAAGTATTCCAGCTACTTTCAGAATCAAAAAATTCAAAGTCTAAAAGCTTATGTGTTTTTCATTCATAAGGTCCTTATTCTAAAATAACAACTTTACTTCAGAATAACTTGTTTATTACAGAATAGGTCTATTTATTCTAGAATAGTGGTTATTTCTTAGAGTCTCTTCCCTTTTTGGTATTTCAAAACAATGCACTTATTCATGAACAAAATATCTTATTCTAAAATATGTCATCTTTTTTCAGGAATATACACCTCCTATTCGGGAATAGCTTCTTTATTCCCAAATAAAGTTCTAAAGATCACCATCTATGTAAACTCATTCTAATATATGAGAGCTATTTTGAAAGAGTCTATTTTATGCATTTAACTTAGCGTTCTTGTTTATTTTGAAACAAGTCTCTATTCCGAAATATATTTGAAGAATGATACTCTGTTTTTTGAGTGATTTTTAGACTCCTCGAATCTTATCCCATACACATTCTTTTCACATTCTATGAGTTATGTCAGCTCTCTAATCATCTTAGAATTCTCTTAAGCACAACTTCAGGTTTGGATTAAACACTTTTTCATTATTCCAATATCCATCAGCTAAATAGCATCCGTTCTTCTAGTATTCATCTCAACGGTAATATTATTAGAGCATTAAATGCATAAATACTGTTGTATTTGCATTTGGCTCTAACACACAAACTCATCTAAAAAGCCACCATTTTTTACTATGCTTTTTAGGTAATAATATTGTTGCAAAGCTACAAACCTACACTTACATCTACATTGTAGATGATCAAAGAGCAATGAAAATTTGATTGTGTCTAATAGATTGTAATGTCCACCTTGATATTATCAAAATTTATCACACAATCACAACAAACAATTATAATTAGGAGTAATGATTGATCATAAGCTCACATTATAGATATAAGGGATAAAACTAATAATCTTTCAAAAATAATTGTAGAATATTTGGGATCCCATAAAAACCCTTCAAATTTATAGTTTGAGCTCAAACTTAATGATTTATAAAGGTATTTGAAGCATAGAAAAGTTTTGGGAAGCA